TTTTTTTTAAATATATTTTTTAAAGAAACATAAATTAAGATTTTTTTTAATCCCCTTTTTAAATTTTAATAAAAATTTTAATTAATTTTTTTCCTCCATCGGCCCCTCAGCTTCCTGAGCTCCCGCAGTTCTGCCGTTCAACGGCATAGCCCTGTTAAAATAAAAGGACATGCCGTAAAATGATATGGGAAAGATTCTTTCAAAAGCGTCCACGTTCTTAAAAAATGATGCATCCATCCAAATGAGTATCTGTTATCTTCTTTAAGGATATTTTACGGGAAGAATATTTCAGGTGGTAGGTGTTACACACACGGCATCTCTTGAGTTACGGATATTCCTGCAGCGAGCTTTTTTCTCACTTCTAACTTTCACAGTTTGCTCTATGGAAGATGTAAGAGGGGTCAAAAAGGTTCTGGGGAAAAAAAAAATGAAAAAAAAGAACTAAATTCTCCGAATACAGGAGTGTAACAAAAGACTGGATTGACCAGGCAACACCAGGCAATAAGCACAGATTTGATGTTATTTCTGGAATTAAAATTCCATGTAAATTGCTTTTCCTTTTAACGCTGAGGATTTGGGGGTAAGAATCGTGTTCTTATGTCATACTTGAAATTCACGCTGTACCGTAAGCGATTTAAAGTGCTAAACCCAAGGGAAGTATTGCGAGGGGAAGCAAGGAAGAGACTTGAACTGATCTACAAGGTTTATATTTTAACTTGAATAAAACATCTTGTTTTTCTTTTTTCTAAAGTGAAATGCTCAACTTAAAGCCTGAATGTTCCTTTTATGTTTAAATACATTCAGTGAAATTTGCAAAAGTCTTTGAAAACTGAAATGGATAAAAACTCATCTCTATATTTAAAAAGAAATCGAATCAAGGAATCGGAATAGTTGTTAAAAGGCATAAAAAATACTTTAAGGTAGTGTCTTGGCTGAAAATTTTCATTTGATGTCTTGAAATGTCATTTTGGCATCAGGGTGTGGGGGATATTTGGGGAAGGTGTGATTTGCAGCGGGAGGTTGAAGATTGTAAGTGTGATAGTTTTCTCATTTTTGCTGAAAAAGTGTTGCGTTTCAAATCTTATCGGCAAGCTCTAATTGACAGTATTTTAAAATCACAGATAGCCTAGAGTAGATGTTCTTATTTTAGCAGACTTTAAGTCTAAAACAGTGGCAATCGCTTGAATAGTCTTCGCTTAGGTAAAGTTATAATTTAAATAAAAATTCAAAAGTGATGTCAGGAACACGAATCACTTTCTGTGAGATATAGGCAGTCCCTAGATATAGCCCAGTCTCTTTCTGTATTAATTTATCCCCCTGAAAAATGAGTATAATTTTTAATTTAAGCGTGTGGCGACGTGGTATGTGTTTAATATGCTTACATGTTCGATGTGGATTAAACATGAGTAACTAGAACCGTGCAAATTTTAGTTGCTTTAAAAGCAGAAAAATCAAACTCATCTTTATCCGTTCAGGACGTGGTCCTCACTGCAGCTTTTAGATCAACGTTTTCTGTACGCCCGGTAACTTCTCATCTTGTTTTTCGTCTTAAACTTCTAACTTCTTTCCTTAAACTTTCCTTAAACGTCTTTCTGTTTTCTTTCGATTTGGTAAACATGTAAAAAAGGAAGAAAGCAATATATTTTTTTGTACAGAGGTACAAAAACTGTGCTGAGGTCTGTATGTGTGTGTGTGTGTGTATATATATATAGTCCCTGTGAGCACTCAAGTAAGACCATAAGATGTTTTATAACTTGAATTTAGAGGATTTTTGCCCATGGATTTTACTGGGAGAGGCTCATGAATAAACCCATGCCATCTATTGCCACCTCTGCTTAGCAATAACAATGTTCTGTCTTCTCCACACCAAATCCCATATGGGATATAGTTACGAGGGGGTTTTCTTCATTCATTCATCATCTCTTCTTGTAGACCCCACATAAGCTTTTCCTACTCTCTAAAAACACCATTTAGAGGGTAGACAGATGCAGCTAATAGGATCTTCTGTTCGATCTTCCTGCAGATGTGTACATATATGTAAAAAAAACCCCAAACACAACCAAACCAACCTATAAAATGTATTAAAAAACCCCTTTCTATTTGAGCTAGGTCTCATACTCCTGTTATTTTTAATGACAAGCAGCCCGTGTGGGAAGCAGTGGTGAACTGGGACATCACGCGTGATGTTTTGCCTTTAGTTATTTTAAAACCCCATAAACAGTCGGTCTTATAACCGGTCTGTATATTTACAAATAAAGGCTGGAAACAAGCAGGTCCTGAACACCTTCATCAGGCATTTTTCTATGGTTTTCGAAAAAAGTTTGCTTTAAGGATACGTGGATGGGTCCTACTGGCAAAATCACGGTAAGGTCACAAAACTCGGCTGATTCTGGATTAAAAATAACAGGGGGAGGGATTGGTTCCGAATTTGAGGGGCTCCACTTGGCTTCCGAAATGGAAACGTGAGGATCAGTTCCTATCAGGCCTATATCCAGACCTTCTCTGTTGACTGTACGGTCGTTGACACGTGTGGAAAATGAATCCAACAGCCCCGTTTCATGCCGGCTTTGTACAGAGGTGGGCGATTATTCACGCTGCCGCGAGAGCAGGGGAAGATGCGCTTTGCGCAGAGTTAATATAAACCCCATCAGGCTGAAATCAGAGCCTGTCAGACTCTGATGAAGATGCTTTAACCAGCAGTGGATTGATCTCGTGTAGTCACATGAAAGATTGAAGGATTTCAGGCATTACTTGCCAAGATAATTTCAGGTTATATGTCTCTCTATATTGTACTATTGTACTGTATATGTTTTCTAGACACTGCTGGCAACAATGAGAGTGAAATTGCTTTTGTCAGTGATAGCTCTACAGAGTTTACTGCAAGCCGGAGTAAAAGCCATGTTTAGTGGACCAGAGCTTCAGTCCCAATCTTGCTGCTTTTCGCCTCAGTTTTTCACCGTTATTTTCACCAGTTGACACCTCGCAGGTCAGCAGCCGCCGTCGGGAAGGATATGGATTCACCTCCACGTTTTAGATACTTATTCAGCATTTTTGAAGGTAGATACCACTGGTTTTGGTAGCTTGAGTAGCTCTTTGGGCTCCATCATCTGTGTTAGGTAGATGTCCTCCTGCTCAATGGGAGGAGCGTTGACACCCATATATATGTAGTCATATAGATATGGTATATAGTCATGTAGACACCGTATATACGTCGTCACATATGCACGGTCACCTAAATGTACGTGTCTGGACTTGGGGTTGATCGTAACGCAAGTTTCTCAATACTAAATGGGTTCTGATGGGGGAGAGGTGCCAGATTGCCGTGCTCCACCAGGAGGATGGACATTTGATGGAGGAGCCACGGACCATGGTTTTGTGCGGGAACTGAGAGGCTCTACAGACCCTCAGGTGCCAAAATAGTTACTAATGGGTGTTTTTCTTAATTGCTGTGTTTGAGTTAAGTACCAGAACTCAACTGGAAAAGCGACGTAGGTTTGTCTGTGTGGGTTTGTTTTCCAGCTGTGCCCTTGGTACTTCTCTAGAGGTGTTTACCCACCGCAGCCCTCGTTAGAAGATGACAATGCACTTACTCTTATAATACGTGAGTCAACATATAGAATAGACCGGGAGCCCAAATCTGCTTGCTCTGACCGGGAGGCAAAACAGTCGCCTCGCCGTAATATGAATGTACACAGAATTAGACTTTAGCCTTGTGTTTGCACATTATTTAGATCAGTGGCCCGTGACTAAGGACGCTAAACGCAATCTCAGTGCAAATAACGGATTGCAACTTTGCAACCAAAAGAGCTGAGAACCGGGGCTTAATATTTTCTTTCAACACATCATTAGGCTGGAAATGCCACTGGGAAAAGCCTTAATTCCCTCTGGTTTTGGATTGATCACAATAAGTAAGAGGTAATAATATTTGTTATTAATAACAGCGATATTAATGGCTTTTACTAATAATTTAGGGATAATATAAGAAAATGCTAGGGTAGTATTCAGGGAACGTCATGCTTTTTACATAAAGCTATTCTTCATAAGCTGTTTCGATAATATAATGCTGTTAATGAGCTCACAGTAAATTAATGCTACTAGTGTAGTCCACAGTACATGCACAGGGACTGACCAAAAAAAAGATTTGCAATTTGGTTCAATACTGAAGGTGAAAACCTGCTTTTCAGGGCTGGGGTGACCGTTGAAATGGGACCTTTTACATCACGTTTGCCCTCGGAGTAGGTTAGGTAACTGTTAGATGCTCCATGAGATGCTTGTGCTGAATCAGGAGGTAACCAATGGCTTAAAGGATCGTTTAAAAATAATTTATTTTTTTATTTATTTATGTTGATGGGTCAGCCTTCACATGGACTTGGTGGGCAGCAACCAAACCCTTAAACTCTATAATGAGATGCTGTTCTAACGTGATTTTTACTGCTTGAAACTGCAGTTTAGCCATTTTGGGGTTTTGCGTATAGACCAAACACTTTTCCATGGGGAACGGTGTTAATATTAAGTCTCACTGTCTTTTCATTTTATCCCCCTTGGATGCAATTATCTAATAAATCGTGTGCTGAAGCACCCTACTTAGTTTCTGCTCTTCCCAGACCAGTTGGTTTGTAGGCTTCAGGCTTTGAGCGATCAATTATTCCTTGTTTATGAGCTTAAATACTTCTGCTGCTTGGGGCGTAAGAGACAGACCCGGTGAAATCGGAGGGAACAGAGGAACATATCGCACTGATGGCTCATACGAGAAAGAATTCCCCGGTATCCCGAGGAAGTAGTCTCCTCGAGTGTTGCGTGTTGCTCTTCACGTCAGAGGATGGTTCAGGATGGTGTATTTTAAGGTGTGATTTTACTGCTCTTTTTTTTTTTTCTCTCTCTTTCATCCCCTGTTATTTTATTCACGCTTATTCCATGCCACCTTGGCCCTTTGTTCTGTAACACCTCAGCTGTGGCCACCACGGCATCTCCCGCCCGCCCCGACACCCGCGTGCCACCAGCCTCTCTGACTGACTCCTCTCCTTTCCCTTCAGCTGTCCCAAGTTCCAGTGTCCTCCCCTCTGCCCCCCGAGATGTGGTCCCTGTTTTGGTCTCCAGCCGATTTGTCCGTCTCAGCTGGCGCCCACCCGCAGAAGCCAGAGGCAACGTCCAGACGTACACGGTCTTCTTCTCCAGGGATGGTGTCAACAGGTAGGCGTCAACACAACATGGGGCTCCTCTGGATGGGGGAATAGTCCTAAGAGAGCCTGAGGGTCTTTAAAAAGTGTCTTGCAAATGGGGTCTCACCCTTGTGGTCTACTCCCCGTGGTAAGTATGAAGGTAGAAATGCCTTTTGTTGTTGTGTGTTTTTGTAGATGTCACATCAACGTTTACATGACAGCTCTCATTGTCTTGGTATGAAGGACCGTTTGCATTGACAGTGATGTCTATGGATCTTATCTCACCCAGCTATTACTCAGCTGTCTAACATAAAATAACGTATTGTTAGCTCCATATTTTACCTTTTAGCTTCCTCTGAAGATACGGGCTCAAGTGTTCTTTGCATCACCGGCAGAGATGAATTTGTTGAGCCCTAATCAATGGGAGAGGCGGAGAGAAGGACCACGCTTAGAGCAGTGCAAATGGTGTAAGACCTTAAAAACAGTCAGGGGAGTGAGTTGTGAAGATTTTACGTGATTGCAAATAAACTGGACCGGCCTCGGCTGTTGCGGCCACGTGGATTAGAGCTGCACGGCAGATAGCTCGTTTGAGATAATGGCACTATGGATTGATTGGTGGTTGCATAGTTCCTCACCGTATACCCTCATTTCACACTCCGGAAGGGACTGCGTCTTTACCTAGATTTGGTTTTGTTTTCCTAACTTCATAAATGATTTTATGCCTGAGAAAATTCTTGTCTTCTCTTCTTGTACGTCATTATGAAGAACTTCCTTGAAGTATCCTGTCCTGTATTTCACTGCATTTACAATACACTTCAGCTGCCGGCTGGTGACTCGTACGTGTGCGTGTGTGCTGATGGCAGCTCAGCTTCTGAGGGGGCTTGAACAGGAATCTATATCTAATTAAAAAATGAACAGATGTGTGTTGGATTCACGGGAGCTAAAGAAGGTGGGACCCCACGGTCGTCAAAGTGAGCTCCCCTCTCCTGCAGTGTGGGCTTATCCTTCATCCGGAAGGGCTTGGTCTTGCAGGCAGAATTTCCTGCCCCTGCCTGGACGTTTGCAAGCTTCTCATTTTAATCTCCAACGATGTCCAACTTCCTTTTATAACCATATGGCCATTTCTTCCCCAAAAGGGTTGTCAAGCACTGGAACAGGCTGCCCAGGGCAGCGGTGGAGTCGCCGTCCCTGGAGGTCTTCAAAAGATGTGTAGATGTGGCGCTTAGAGACATGGTTTAGTGGTGGACTTGGCAGTGTTGGGTTAAGGGTTGGACTC